CAGAAGTTGTCAAGGATATGAAGAAAGGAGAACACGTGCATACTTTTGATAGGAATGTAAATTAAGAGAATCATTATGGAAAACAATATGGAAATTCCCCCACAGATTAAAAACATTACTACCATATGATCCAGCAAACCCACTACTGAATATATATCCAAAGGAAATAAAAATTAGTAGGTCAAAGAGATATCTGCACTTCCACATTTATTGCTGCACTATTCACAAGAGCCAAGAAATGGAAATAACTGAAGTGTCCACTAACTAAAGAATGGATAATACGGTAAGTACTATTTATGGCTAAAAAGTATTACATTACATTAGTAATGTAATACTATTAATATAGCCATAAAAAGGACAAAACCCTATCCTTTGCAACAACATGGATTGAACTGGAAGTCATTATGCTAAATCAAATAAGCCAGACACAGAAAAGATAAATACAAGGCTGGGGATATAGCTAAATGGTAGAGTGCTTTCTGGGCAAGTGCAAGGCACTTGGTTAGATTCCCCTTGCTGCATGATCTCACTTATATGCAGACTCTAGAACCCCTGAACTCAAACAGCAAGCAGAATGGTGGTTACCAGAGGCTGGGGAGATGTTAGTCAAAGGGTATAATGTTTCAGTTGGACAGGAGAAATAAATTTAAGTATTTGAGGTGATGGACGTAAAAAAAAAAAAAAAAAAGGACTTTAGGGGCTGGGGTTGTGGCTCAGTGTGCCTGGCATGTGTGAGGCACTGGTTTGATCCTTGGCACCACATAAAAATAAATAAATAAAATAAAGGTAATGTGTGCATCTGCAACTAAAAAAAACATATTAAAAATAAACTTTTGGTTTTGCTGATCTTGTGTATTGCATATTTGTTTTATAAAATTCCATTTATATTTTTGCTCTTTAATATTCTAGTAAACATTCCCAGTGCCAAAGTCTTCTCACAGTTATCTCCTAGATCTGGAACCAGAGATTCTACATCATCTTCTCACCTCACAGATGATTTTAACATGTTTTTGTATGTGATCTAGCAGTTTTAGTTTCTTCAATGCAAGGGGGCTGGTAGAATCGTCCAATTTACTAGTTCAGAATATAGAAAACTATGCACTTTAAAAATTGATGCTTATATGCATTACCATTAAAAATGTAGAAATCATTTAAAAAAACAGGGGCAGGAAAATGGGCATTTGATATATTTCTGGTGAGGGCATATCAAAATCGTTTTGGAGAGCAACTAGAAACATGTACCAAAACTCAAAAAGCACATTCTATTTCAGGGGAAAAGGGGAAATAAATCAAATATCCATCAATAGGAGAATGGTTAGATAAATCATGGCATATTTCTACATTATCACTCACTTAACTATTCCACTGTGAGGGCAAGTTTAACAAAAGGAAACAAACAACTGTGACATTTCCTTGTGAATTCTTTAAAAGGCTTTGAACTATGCCACGAAAAAGGCCGGGATAGTCCTAAAATACCTCTGAGGCAAGATAAGACTCCTGACTCAGTGGTCCTATCTAATAGCTCCAAAATTTAGCTTTTTCTGGGGGATTAATATCTATAAAGTTGTCATGTTGTAACAACTTCACCCTTAAAATAAAAACAAACTCATTGGCATTCTACATCGTATGGTGAAAACACTGAAAAGATCACCTTTTTAAAATGGCACCTAAAGGAAATATCCCCAGTCTGAATCCTCACAGGCAGACCACCCTGTGGTGTGGGTGCTGCTGGCTTTGCTCACATTCTTCTGGTGATCAACATCATGTTCCTGCAGAGCCAAGTTTCAGGACATAATTATGTCTGCAATAATAAAGGGGGCAGAGAAAACGTAATACCAGCAGTTTCCATGCACTCCTGTGGTTAAAATAGTTTCTGCAAAAGGAGTCATATAACAGTCCATTAAACCACAAACTTTTAGAGCAGTGACTTCAGAAATTGTAAAATTTGTTTTTCTGCAACCATGTCAATCTCAGCATGGTAGTTACTCCTCTATGCTCACTCTTTTAAGAACTACTTCTTTGCTGATTGTTTATATTCTTTTAAAATATTTCTTTTCTCATCTAGTTATAAAAAGCCTTGCTGCCCCCCCCCAATTACATAGTAAAATACCCATCATAATTCCATCACTCAAAAATAATTACTATCAAGAGTTTTATTTAATCCTTCCAACCTCTTCTCTAGTAAGATGATAAATTACATATATTAAAAGAAGGCAAGAGGGGATGGGGCTGTGGCTCAGCGGGAGAGCGCTTGCCTAGCACATGCAAAACCCTGGGTTCAATCCTCAGCACCACATAAAGATTAAAAAAAAAAAAAAGAAGATGGCTGCAAGAGCCAGGTGTGGTGATGCATGTCTGCAATTCCAGAGACTCAGGAGGCTGAGACAGGATGATCCAGAGTTCAAAGCCAGCTTTAGCAAAAAGTGAGGCACTAAACAACTCAGTGAGACCCTGTCTCTAAATAAATACAAAAAAAAAAAAAAATAGCTATAGATGTAGCTCAGTGGTCAAGTGCCCCTGAGCTCAACTCCGGGTATCCCACACCACCCCCCCCCCACAAAAAAAAAAAAAAGAAAGAAAGAAAAGAAAAGAAAGCAAAAACATAATGAATGTACAATTTTTAAAATTGCTTTTTTCCTCTTGGTTTGCCATAAAGCTATCAATATACAACAGGGTTAATTCTTTTATTTAAAAAAAAAATCTGTGGCTACAGTGCTTCAGAATACTTCCCTGGAGGTTTCTTTTGCATAGAAATTGTGTATCTATGTGGGAACAGATAGCACAGCTATTGTTAAGCTGTTCTCAAGTAGGAGAGTTTCCTATTGCCCCCGTACTGGCCAATACTGCATGTCATTGTCATCCACACACACACCCTCCAAAAAAACCCCAAACAACAAAAAACCACACAAACCCAATATATGTATTTAAAATCAGGCCATAATTTTTTATTTGCAGGGGTCCTCAGCCCTACTGTAGACTGAAATTATTTGGATAATTTTCAAAAATACAGGTGCACGGGGCTGGGGTTGTGGTTCAGTGGCAGAGCATATGTGCGAGGCACTGGGTTCGATCCTCAGCACCACATAAGAATAAGTAAACAAAATAAAGATATTGTGCCATCTATAACTAAAAAATTTTTTAAAAAATACAGATGCACAAACTCTACCCTCAAAGTTTGTTTTTTTACTACCAAAGAGGAACATTGATGACAATGTTTTAATTTACATTTTTCGAGTATTACTGAGGTTGAGAAGCAATTCTATCGATCACTGCTACTTCCTCTTCTCTGAACTGCTGGTTTATGGCTTTTTGCCCATTTGTGAGCTCAGATGTCTTTTTTCTTTTGGTCTGGAAACAACTCTTTGAGAAAAACTCCTTTCAGAATTTTAAAGGCATTTATCCACTATCTGCCTAATTTTAGAGTTGTTCTCGGCAGTCTGATGTCAATGTAATCCAGTATCCTATGATTTATTTTTTGTCTTTCAAGTATGTAAGATTTTCTCTTGGTCTCCAGCACTCTTAAATTTGAAAATTATGTGCCTTGATGAGGGTCAAACTTCATCTATTATGATGAATGCTTGCCAGGTCCTTCCATAATAGATATCCCTTCCCTTCAGTTCTGGAACATGTTCTTGAAATGTTTTTCCATTGATCACACAACTCCCTCCATTTTACTTTCCTGGAATTCCTAACTAGATGGTGAACTTCCTTGACTTGTCCTTTAATTGCATCTTTTTTATATCCCATCTACCTTTCTGCCTTTGGTCCTATTTTGTAGGAGGCTTCCTTACCTTTATCTCCTAACATGGACTATTGAGCTTCTTGTGTGTTATCAAGGTTTTGTTTAAATATATACTTTTTTTAGTTATAGATGGACACAATACCTTTATTTTATTTTTATGTGGTGCCGAGGATTAAACCCAGTGCCTTCCACATGCAAGGCAAGCACTCTACCACTGAGCTACAACCCCAGCCCCTGTTATCAAATTTTTAATCTCCAAAGTCATCATCAGATGTGTGAATGTATATTGCAGGGGAAGGGGTTCCCATCACTAATGTTAGACTCTTTCCAAATGCTTGGTAATCCCAGACTATCTACTTATGAATAAGAATTGAAGATTAATAAAACACTGACCAAAATCTCTGAACATGTAGACCAAGCTTGTCAAGATTGTGCTTGGAGCTGGGTTGTATTCATAGCTAGTTTGGGCTCTGAACATGGGGGCTCCCTGTTCCTCTCAGCACCCACCTCACTGTCCAGCCACTCCAGCCAAGTGGACCAGCACATGGTTCTCATGTGCAGACAAATGTGGAATACTTGAAACATCGGGAAAAGTCGGTTCCTCTTCCCTGTTCCTCTTGTGTATACCTTCCCAGTCAATGTCACTGCCCCCAGGACCCTCCCAAACCTGGAAGACCTACAGAACTGTCCTCTCTCACATATTTTGTGCTATGGTACCTTTGTTCGGATGAAGCCTTCCTACCTTTGGTCATTTCTGTTGTGGTGGTAATTGTGGTACTGAACTGAGGTGTGCTCTACCAGTCCTTTTTATTTTGAGACAGGGTCTTGCTAAGTTGCTGAGGCTGGCTTCAATCCTCCTGCCTCAGCTTCCCAAGTTGCTGTAATTACAAGTATGCACCACCACATCTAGCTGCCTTCAGTCTTTAAAGAGTTTATTAAAATTACTTGTCTTCTAAGAACACTACTTATTATTCTGCAGTGAAGATTTACATTTTTAAAAATGAAAGAGTTTTCATTATTTACAAGAATTTGGGTAATCAATGTACTTAGTCCATATCTTAATTCAGTCTGTTCAGGTCATTTTAAGATTTGGTGAAAATAGAAATTCAGCCCTTCTCTGTCAAATAATTTGTATCCCTGATAGTTCTTATGTAATTACCTAGTTTATGATAGGCCCTGAATTAGTCACTTTCCTTATGTTACTCCTTTCATTTTCACACAAAAAATTAAAAGGATATCCGCATCCCAGCTGTACAGAGGAAAAACCTTTAGTCAGAAGCATTAAGTAACTCCCTCGGAGCCCCGCAGGCAGCAGTACTGGGCGTGGAGTGCTGACCTGCTCTAACTTGCTCATGTGCAGACGAAGAAACTGAGGCCAAAGTAGACAACTAACTAATTTGCCAGAATAACAGGTAATTAGGAGCTTTACAGCTTCTTCCCACTATTTCTTTTTATTACTTAGTGGTTAGGAGTTACATAATTTCCAGTGGCATTTAGATGTAGCCAGTTATTGTTTTGTTTACAACATTGTGTGAGACTGGGGTGGGCTGGCAGAGAGAGGATGAGAGATTTAAATTTAAAAGGGATCCCAGACACATGCAGCCTTTAGTCAGACAAGAGCACCATCCCTACAGACTGATAAAGCTCAAGTGATACGCTGGTGGGCATGAACTTCAAAACTTTTTATGCAGACAGCCTATGAAACCACAAATTTCTTAAGCTCCTTTTTTGTGTTTTCAGCTCTGCCTTGTCAGCCTGCAAAGGAAACACTCCCCCCAAACCCCGCTGATGTTTTCCACTTTTCCTGAGTTTAAAAAAAAAATATTTACCTTGGTAACCATTTCCCTGGTTACTTTCTTGGCTGATTTTCTGCACAAAGAACTGAAAGGCATTTATTCCCAAGGGAAGGAGTTATTTTAGATTTTACTAAGAAGTCAGCTAACATTTTCAACATTCCCTTCTTTCTTTGTTTTTAAAGAAAGCTCTGATTTTGTTTCATTTTCAGCTGGAGACTTAAATGACACCAAGAAAAGTCTACTTAGTTTAGATTTCCAGGTAAAAAAGCTTTAAATTTTAAGTTTCTGCTAAAGCATGTGGCATGGTTTTGATAGCTGGGTATTTTATGTGCAAATATGTTTAATTCTTGAGAAAATTAGCTCTTTACTAATAGATTTTAAAAGTTCGAAGTGTGCATTATTCTGTTTACTTGTTTCTTCCCCCCCACCCAGGATGACTACTTCCAAAGTATTTCAAACTTTATAGAATAAGAATTAAATTATTTTCATATATTCAGATAGAATTATGTGACTAGAAATATAAATTTATTTGAAGAGTTCATTCTTTCTTGACTTTTAAGTCTTAAAAAACAAAGAATTAATAAAAGATATTTTTCATTTTAAAACTGTTGGGTAATGAGAAGGAGAAATAATAGCTGATGACTTCAAACATTACTTAAGAATTAATGAAAAACTTTGGAGAAAAATGATAAGTTAATCAAGTTTACAGATGATATTTAATGTTGGGATAAATACAAAAGTGCTAAAAAGAAAAAACTTTACTGATAAAAATGATATTGTGATTAGTGTCTCATAAAATTTTAGCTCCACTGTAATGTTGCTTTTTGAGGCAAACATTAAATGTAAAGCAAAATTCTATAGGACACTGAAAATAACAAGGACCTAAACATCAATTATAAAATTACTTTTAAGAGGTCATTTCATAAAATTCATTTAAAATTTTAATGAGACATTAATTTTGTCAAAATTAAGATACATATCTGTCAATTTACTTCTGTACATTTCTGGATAAGAAAAATGAGTCGACTTGAGGGACAAAGAGAGAATGAGCGAAATTACCGGGATGTGAATACTAGGGTCACAGCAGGCACACCCTCCTGCACACTCACGTAGGCCATGCCCTGGCAAGTGGGTGCTTCTAGGAGGCTGGGACAACCAGATGCCGGAGACCTTCCTGGGAGTTTGTCCTCGAGCTCTGAGGTCAGGGCCTTCTCAAGACCCTCACCTTTCACAGGATAGTGGGTCTGCACATGTGACTGTCAAACAAAGAAAATGTCAGTATGCACAGTTTATACCGTGCAGAGCATTAATGCTGTGTGTCCATCAGAGTTCGCTTGCCTCCGCAAATTCTAGCTCTACTCTGCCCCACAGCTCAAATTTTTATATTGCTTTCCCCTGCTGCTAATGCTACTCCTTTTCAACATGCTACCTTGCTCTACGAATTAACTTTTACAATTTCAGGTACCAATAGGCTTCTTTATATAGCCCATGTTAATTTTTCTGAAACTAAAGTAGATCATAAAAAGCTAATCAAGTATGTCATTTTAATGACCTACAGCAATGGATTTGACACCACTGCAGTAATTAACATACATACATGATGTATGAAGCTTACTGCTAAAGTGGACAGGGGCTGCCTCAGAGACTGCTGGCTGCTGAGCCAAGATGATGGAGTGGCAGGTCCACGCAGGTGAAACCTGACTTAGAGGGTGACTTTGGCAGAAGAATTTTAGAATGACTGAGATTCAAGAGGGCAAACCAAAAGACACTGTGCCCCTTTTTCTCTTACCAAGTCCATAGAAATAACAGAAGATATGTTACAAACAAGTAAGTGCATGAATATAAATAGCTATACTGGGAAATAAGTGGATTCCTGGTGGGACAGAAACTAAGGAGTCCTTCATAGAGGGAAGATAGAATTGAGTTTAAAGAGGGAAAATGTAGCTGTCCCACGCCTTTAATCCCATTAGCTTAGGAGGCTGAGGCAGGAGGATTGAGCGTTCAAAGCCAGCCTTGGCAATGGTGAGGTGCTAAGCAACTCAGCGATACCCTGTTTCTAAATAAAATACAAAATAGGGTTGGGATGTCCCTCAGTGGTCAAGTGCCCCTAAGGTCAATCCCCAGTAACCCCCCCGCCCCGCCCAAAAAAAGGAATGAAAATGTAGTCTTGAAAAGGCATAGGACAGAGCAGATAGTAAAGAGAGCTTGAAGGGAGAAAAAAAAAAAATCCCAAGAAGGAAAAACCAAACAACAACAATAAACTATTTCTAGGCATATCATAGGAAAATTTCTGAATATCAAAGATGCATTGAAAAATTTTTTAAAAAAATCATAGGAACAGAAATTTCTACAAAGGGATGTGAATCAGATTTCAAGTCAAATGTTTCATCAACACTAAATAAGAAAATAATGGGCTGATAATCTGCAAAGTACTATGGAAAAATGATTAAAATAATTTTGAAACCATAATTATATTTTCAATCACATAGAAAGTATTTTTACACACATAAGAATCACAAACTTTTGCAACCTGTAACTTTTTCTAAGAGGATACATATTTCTGCAATAAGCAAAATGAACCTTAAGGAGCTGCTCTGACAAGGCAAGTCAGACTCATTGTTCTGCTGACAATAACTAGGTAGGAAGATGAGAAAAACAACAGGACCAGTGTTTGGATTAGGCCTAAAATCCAGGGAGGTTTGGAACAGCTTTTCTTCTGGAACAATCTGTGGATTCCAGAAGAGGTGGCTGAGAATGTTAGCAGATCTTTAGAACAGTCTGATGAGGCAGGAGAGATATAAAAACAAGGAAAAGGGCCAAAAAGTGGGGGTGGTGAGAACAGTATTGCTGGTGAAATTGGCAGTTTCAAATGGGAACCAAAGTGTAATTATTAAATAGAAGGTCAGCTTCAAATAATTCAGTGTATGATTGGTAGTGCCCTCAACCTCATACCAAAAATGTAAATCTTTGGATAGAAAATACATAAATCCTATTTTTCAGTAATTTTCCTACTATGTCTGGCAGCAAATCAAAGGTCTTTAGGCAAATGAAGAAAAAGAACAACATGACTACAAGCCTAAAGAAATAATAGATGATAATAGAGAGTCCAGAAAACTATTCTTCAAACACAGACTTTATAGCAAACACAATAAATATATTAAAAAAGTAAAAGACGAGTAAAAATTTCAACAGAATTGGAAACAAGAAAAAGAAACAATAGAAGTCAATAGCTGGAGTTAACAGTATATAAACTACAGCTGAAGAGAGTATTAATGAACCAAAAGATGAGTGAGGAGAATGATCGAAGTAAATCGTGAAGCATCAGAACAAAAAGTATTAGGAGGCAAAGTGACATTGAAGACATAATGAGGAGGCTGTCACACCAGTAAGTGCAGTCATGACAAGGAGATGAGAGAAGCATGATAGACCTGTGTGCAAAGAGATAAGGGCTGAGATGGTCCTAAATTTGATGAACATTAGGACACAAATTCAGAAAGTCCTATGAATCCCAGATATGAGAATCATACCTATGTACATTGGAGCAAAACAGCTGAAAACCAAAGACAAAGAGAACATCTTAGCAGTCAGTGGGGGGGGAAAGTTTCTTTTAAAGAAGAAATAATTAGTTTGAGATATGTCTTCTCCACAGAATCAACAGAAACAATAAAGATATAGGAAGAGTATCTGGAGTATATATGCTCTAGAAACACTTTTCAACCTAAAATTCTATATCCAGAAAATATATACTTTCAAAATGAAGGTGATATCTAAACATTTTCAGAAAAACAAAAAGAGAACTGATCCTCAACAGATCTGCACAGAAGTAAATACTAAAAGATATTCTTTAACCAGAAGGAAAATAATCCTCAAAAAGATTGGAGATAAGGAAGGAGTGAGAAGAACTGAATAGGATAAATATGTTAGGTAAATCTGCATAAGTGGTCTCAACTGCAGGGCAGGCCATACTTGGTAATATCTGGAAACAGATTTGTTGTCTCAACTGGTGGGGAGGTGCTAGTGGCATCTAGTGGGTTGAGGCCAGCAATGCTGTTAAATAGCCTGTGACAACAAAAGGCAGCAGCTCCTCAGGAAAAAAAAAAAAAAAAGAGTTACTAGCTCCAAATAATAGTGGCAAGGTTGAAAAAGATCTAGATGAACTTTGAGTACATAACGATGATGATAATCTTTTGAGGGTTTAAGATCTATCTAGAATTAAAAAACTAAGAGTGGCATATGTGCCAGGATGGGCCAACTGGAATCAAGTTTGTCCTAGTTTTTGCATTGTCCAGGAAAAGGACAAGGTACTAATTTATATTAGACATTGATAAGTCAAGGATGTATGTGGTGATTTCTACAAAAAAACGGAATAGTAGAAAGTATATCATGGAATGACAAAAAATGAAGTCAGTTAAAAAGAGCAATAAAATGGAAAAAGGAATATAGAATAAACAGGAAAAAAAATAGAAAGCGAATCATCAAAAAGTAGGTTTAAACTCAAACGTATCAACTATTACATTAAATATAAACAGGTTATATGTTCCAATCAAGATACAAAGATTACCAGACTTCATTAAAAATGCTACTAATAAAAAGCATATCAAAAATATAATAGGGCTGGGGATGTAGCTCAGTGCTAGAACACTTACCTAGCACACAGGAGGCCCTGGCCCAGCAACATAAAAATGAAAAAAAAAAAAAAAAATAGAAAGGCTGAAAGAAAAATGATACAAAAAAAGATACACACATTATGTATGTACATATTTATATAAGGCAGATATTAACCAAAAGAAAGCAACTATACCAACATTAGACAAAGTAGCTATTTTGGCAAAAAGCAATACTAGAGATGTGAAGAATATTGATGTAATGATAAAAGTACCAGAAAGATAACAATTCTGCACTTGTAGCTACCTATAACAGGGCTCCAAGATTTATTAATAAGCTTGACCAAAGTGATTCATAAATGCTAAACTACATCAAAAAGTCAACCCAAAATAATATAGTTTAAAAACAACAGAGACTCTACTATTATTTGTAAATTAAAAATTTAAAAATAAAATTAAGAATACTTCCAGGTGATACATGATATATGCAACAATGCCATTTATGCTCAAATGTATATGTTCATTAGAAGGGGTCATGAAAGACATACTAAACTTGGGGTTGGAAAGCTGTAGCCCACAGACCAAATCCTGTTTTTAAACAAAGTGCCATCAGAACACAGTTATGCCTACCCATTTCCTTATTTTCAAGGGTTACTTTGTGGCTACAGCAACAAAGCTGAGTAGCTGTGACAGAGAACACTGGCCTGCAAACCCCAAAATATTTACTCTCTGGCCCTTAATGAAAACATTTGACTACCCTTGTACTAAACTATGAATTATGGTTAAGGCAACTTGTCTTTTCTGCCTTATAGACTTCTGTATCATTTTGGTTTTAAAAAATATGTATTGTTTTTCTAAATTTAAACACATTTTAAAAATCACTGATGAAAAATATTAAAAACTCAGGAAAAAACTGTGAACATGGTTTTATCTTTAAATCTCTTTTTGGGGGGTACTGGGGATTGAACTCAGGGACACTCAACTACTAAGCCACATCCCGGCCCTATTTTGTATTTTATTTATAGGCAGGGTCTCACTGAGTTGCTTAGGGCCTCACTTTTGCTGAGGCTGCCTTTGAGCTCATGATCCTTCTGCCTCAGTCTCCGGAGCCACTGGGATTCAGGGAGGAGTGTGCCATTGCATCCGGCTTTTAAATCTCACATGGGCTATCATGTGGACAACAAATTGTATCTTAAGCTAAGGAGGAACTTTCTGCCAATGCTGTATGAATACAAGGTGAGGCCCAAGGAATTAGAGTTCCCTACTACAGAAAAGTAGATGATGTCAGAAGTTCAATCAAAGCAAGTTCCATACAGTGTGCTAGGAACCAATAGAATCACCTAGATATAAGAGAAACACAACAAACTCCAGGGAGGTTCAGAAATCAAGGATCAGAATTCTGACTGCAGAAATTGCATGCATAATGTGGACAATGACACCAGCAGTAGTGCCATCTGCCATTAAGAATTTAAAGATTCAATATGGAGGATAATGAGTCTGGATTTTTCCTCTGTAACATGCAGTACAAGACTTGGAAATAGATCAAATGAAAACAAAGTCTTGGACTTGGGAGAAAACTTTGGGAAGGAGGTTACCATAGGAAATGATGATTATTTTCCACTGTTCCTTTTGATAACTAACCAAAGAAAGACTCCATCCAATTATAATTCATTATGTTTTGCCTATAGCAATATATGACTGTCTTGATTAAAAGCCTAGAATAACTCTTTATTTCTCTAAATCAGGTTTCACGGACCTCAGCACAATTGATATTTGGGCTAGCTGATTCTCTGTTGCAGCAGGCTGCCCTGCACACAGTAAGATGTTTAACAGCATTCCTGGCCTCTTCCCACTGGACACCTACATTGCCCTTCCCAACTATGACTACTAAAAATGTCTCCAGAAATTGCCAAATATCCCCAGAGGACAAAATCCCTCCACAACTGAGAAGCACTGCTCTAAACTATGAGCTGGCAACCATTCGCTGTAAATGACTTTAGAAAAATCTAGGCCAGATTATGAGTCTTGATTGCAACTACTGAGCCCTGCTGTTGTAGCACCTAACCATAAACAATACAGAAACAAACGAGCATGGTGTGTTCCAGTGTATATACTTTATGTACACTGAAATTTATTTTTATTTTTTAGTTATAGGTGCACACAATATCTTTATTTTATTTTTATGTGGTGCTGAGGATTGAACCCAGTGCCTTAGACATGCTAGGCGAGCGGTCTACCTCTGAGCCACAACCCCAGCCCTGAAATTTTAATTTCATCTATCATAAAATGTTTTTTTTAGCAGAGCAGGGAATCATATCCAAGGACTTGTATATGTTTGATAAGTATTCTACCACTGAGAAACATCCCAGCTGTATATTTTTTTTAACTATTTAAAAACAACAAAAACATTTTAGCTTGAAGGTTGTACAGAAACAAGTTAGCAGGCCCAATGTGTCTTCTGGGCTGTAATTTCTCAGCCCTAGCTGCAACTACTATCAGCTCCATGGCCTACTTCCTAAGGTCCTACATGACATGATTTCCCCTCCCTGATGAAAGTGTAGATCATATAACATTGTTAAGTACCTGGGACTAGTGTAGACTGTGGCTTTTGTTAATACACAACTTAAATGTGTTACTTCCTCATAACATAAAGTGATAGTCCTGTTCAAGTACAATAGTGAAGACAACTGAAAATTAAAGCATACATAAAGGTACCTGGAAAACTACTACCACAATCCAGAAAATGAACATCACCACCTTCAAAAGCTCCCTCATGACCTTTGGTGATTGCCACCTGTCTCACAGATAAACCCTCACCCCTGTCTTGAGGCAAACACAGACATGGTTTACAGGGTAGTCTATACCTTCTACAGTTTCCAGATAAAATTAGAACTAACTTGTCAATTTTTAACCAAAACAGCCTGCTAGAATTGGTTTTGTGATAAATCTATAGATTAATATGGGGAAGAACTGAGAATTTAACAACATTGAGTCATCTGATCCACATACATGGTATGTATTTCTACTTATAGAGGTCTTAATTGTTTTTAGCAACACTTTTATAAGTTCCAAGATGAACACTGTGCCAATCTTTTGTCAGAAGTATTCTTTAGTATTTCACATTTTTATGCTATTATAAATGGTACTGTATTTTTTACTTCTATTTCTGATTGTAGTTAGTACATAGAAATGGCCTTGATTTTTGTAGATTGATCTTACATCCTAACACCTTGCTAAATTCTCTTATTAGTTGTAGGAGCTTTTTTGGTGAATTCCATGAGATTTTCTATATAAATGACTAAGACATTTGTAAATAAAGCCAGTTTTATTTCTTTTTTTCATTCTGGATGCATTTTCTAAAAAGGGCAGGTTTATAAGAATTAAAATCCTAGTCTTCTTAAATGTTATAGGAAGACAAAATATATTTGGGTCTGTTAGTAAATATGCCCTGTTCCACATTAAAAATGTATTTTCTGCTGGGCGAAGGGGCACACACCTGTAATTCCTGCTGAGGCAGGAGGATCATAAGTTTGAGGCCAGCCTCAGCAAGTTAGGGAGACCTTGTCTCAAACTAATGAAGTAAAAAGGACTGGGAATGTAGCTCAGTGGTGCTGCCCCTGGGTTCAATTCCAGTACCAAAAACAAAACAAAATGAAGCCTCCCCAAGAACAACAATAAAAACTATCTGTTCAGAGATTATAAAGTGGTATTTATGTACAATATGGACACATATTTTATTTCTTGAACTTGTATTATTATACTGGCTAGAAAATGCAGTAAAATATTGAGCAGAAAGAAGTGCTGTGAACTGATGTCCTTGCATTGTGCCTGATCTTAAGTAGAAAAGATTGAATTTTTACTACTAAGTATGAGGTTAGCTGTAAGTTTTTTAAAAATGACAGTTATCACAGGGATGACTTTTCCCTTTCATTCCTAGTACTGAGATTTTATCAGAAATGGATGTTGGACTTTGTGCAGCAGCTCTCCATCTCAGGGTGGGCCTTGAGGACTGCATAAGGGCTGTCAGGATGGGGCAGCAAGTGGTGCATGGGGGTGGGGGTGGGGTGTGTGCATTTAAAAAAGGTGTCTCAGCTGACTTTTGAGAGGCAGTGGAAGTTGCACCAGCTTCGCTGGCAGAACTAATTGAAGTTCAGGGGAGCTCTGACTGCAGTCCTGGCAATTACCTGTGGAAATTTCTCTTTACCTGTCCATACTACCCAACTTCACTGGAATGCACCAGTCATCTGACCCAATGCTGATGGCTAAACTGTGCCTAAATACTTATTTTCTCAATTCCTTTTTTAGTTTCACAACATGCTTGGCCCTGCACTGGCCACTAGACCTGCCAATTAAGAGTTACTCTCTTTCTTTTGTTTATCACTGATGTCATGTGACTGTTACTTTTATGTGGTACAATCAGGTCATTCCCCAATAAATTAGAAAGCTAGAGAATAAGATATCAAAATAGAAAGACAGGAGCTGGGTGTAGAGATACACACCTGTAATCCCAGCAGCTCGGGAGGCTGAGGCAGGAGGATTGTGAATTCAAAGCCAGCCTCAGCAAAGGCAAGGGACTAAGCAACTCAGTGAGACCCTGCCTCTAAATAAAATACAAAAATAGGGCTGGGGATATGGCTCAGTGGTTGAGTACACCTGAGTTCAATCCCCAGTACCAAAAATCAAAAACCAAACCAAAAAACAAAACAAAACAAAAAACCAGAAAGACAGGTGAAATGGGTTGTAGGTGATTTTAGTCACAGAATGCCTTAGCAGACAGGTGAAGAGAAATCTCTTAAGTAATTGCCAAAAACCCAGAGCATAGTGAGGCCCAGAGAGGAGTCAGCTGACTGCAGCCCAGGTGCCAAGTCTGTCTTTGACAGTAATGAGCATTTTATTGGAACAAAGACATACTCGTTCATTTGCATATCATCTGTGGCTGACTTTATGCTACAGTGGCATAGCTGAATAGTCACAACAGAGAACACAGTTATAATGCCTGAAATATTTACTATTTGGCCTTTTATGGTCCAAGTTTGCTCAAACCTGGTCTAGAGATAAAGATGTGAAATGTTCTTTTATTCTTATAGAAAAAGTCCAAATTTTGATTTGGCAGTAATACCATAGGATACAACCCATGCATCACATCAACATTATTTCTCAAAGCCTTCCTACTGAGGAATTACTAGCAATAACAAGCCAATTTTCAGGATAAAAATTCAGTCAGCACTAACTTTGAAATTTTGTTTCATCCTAGAAACCAGATTCACTAAAGCAAACATGAAGTTTGCAGTTTGGTTCTGTTTTGTTCTGCTTATCATTTTCCAACCTGACTTTGGACAAAATGAAGACACTCCTAGAAAGCAAAGGAGGAAGATGTATTATCGAAGACTGAGGAAAAGTTCCTCACTCAACCACAGGTCAAACAGACACGCTGGAATTCCACAAACAACTGTTGCACCAGTAGCAAGAACATTTCCCACAGTTCACTTTGATTACAGCACAGAGGAAAAGTTTGAATCAATTTCAAGTTTTCCTGGAGTAGAATCAAGCTATGATGTTTTACCAGGTAAGAGAATAGTGTGAGAGAGAAAGAAGATTGGGAGAGGCAAGAGAGAGAGAGAAAGAGAACCTCCATGAAATTAAATTTTAAAAGAAAAATCCAAGTTAGCACACTTCCTAACTTTTGGTTTAATCTAAAAATGTACATTTTAGGATAATGTAAAAAAATTAATTTAAGAAACATAATTACACAAAATTATTGGAAAAATTAAAAAAAAATTATCCTACCACTATGCTAATAAAATCAAAGCTATCATTTTGGGTTATTTCTTCCCAGTTTGAATGCATTTTATGCATTTTAAATAGTTATAATCATAATACAGCTAAATTAAAAAATATTTAAGGGGCTTCTTCATTTGTAACTACAGATTATATAGAATAGAAATAAATTATTCAAATGATTTTATGAACACACAGTTATTAAATATTTCAATCCAAATTTTTTTCAGAAATGGAGTGAAAGCCACTGAATTTATTTTATAAAAAGACTAAATTACGGGCTGGGGTTGTGGCTCAGCAGTAGAGTGCTCACCTAGCACGAGCGAGACCCTAGGTTCGGTCCTCATCACCACATAAAAATAAATAAATAAAATAAGGGTATTGTGGGGGGCTGGGATTGTGGCTCAGCGGTAGAGCACTCGTCTAGCACAGGTGGGACTTGGGTTCAATCCTCAGCACCACATAAAAATAAAGGCATTGTCCATCTACACCTAAAAAATAAATTTTCTTTTTTTTAAATAAGGGTATTGTGTCCAACTACAACTAAAAAATAAATATTAAAAAAAGACTAAATTACTATCTTTTTAAAGGTTGAAAAGACTGGAAATTCTGCTAAAGGTTTCAATTAGGTATTTTTAAAAACTAGTATTTAATGAACCACATTTTTCTAAGTTTATAAGAAAAAAGTAATTATAGGTATGTCACCATTAAACAGAACTTCAAAAAGACAAAAGAAAACAACATCATATACTTTTCTATGGCCAGTAATTCGTACATTATCTTAATAAGACCAAATGCTTCTAAATTATTATTTCCATTGAGTTAACAGAAAAAAACATACCATTATCACAAAAACTGGTGATTTAGGCCACATTTACACCATAAGTGGGAAATGAGAGGCAAAGAAATCAACTAAAACAGTCATTGTTATAGAAGTGTATCCATAACCACTAAAGAAAGATAAATTTTCTTAGTTAAGGAAAAAGATATCCAGGCTATAATAATAAAACAATTAAAAGATTTAAAAGTAGTACACATAATGTGATCTCACATCTGTTTAAAAATTTATTTTCATATTTATTTATTTTTGAGATAGAGATCAAGATCTCTAACTTGTGGGTTCCAGCAACCACCTTGCCTCAGCCTCTCAGTAGCTGGGATTATAGGCACATAATCCTCATAGCTCTATGCCCATCTGAAAAAAAATTTTAAATATATGTAATATAGGATGATATGCATAAAAAGTACAGAAGATGTATATTAAACATTCTAAATTGTCAAAAAAATGTTTTCACAGTGATCTTAAAATATTTCTTTTTTAAAAAAATTTTTATAGCTGTAGATGGACAGAATACCTTTACTTGTTTATTTTTATATGATGCTAAGGATTAAACCCAGTGCCTCACACATGCTAGGCAAGCACTCTGCCACTGAGCTACAGCCCCAGCCCAAATATTTCTTTTTTTACTGTATTACTACAAATAACATAAACTTTACCATTTTAAAGTACATTTAGTCATATTTATAGTACATTCACAATGACCACTATCTAGTTCCTGAACATTTTCATCACCTCAAAAGAAAACCCAGGGGGCTGGGATTGTGGCTCAGTGGTAGTGTACTTGCCTTATGTGTGAGGCACTGGGTTCAATTCTCAGCACCATGTTTAAATAAATAAAAAATAAAGATCTATCAATAACTAAAGGAAAAAAATATAAAAAAATAAAAACCTGGGACAAAAAAAAATCCTCATTCCTTCCTACCTACAACACTTCGCAACCCCTCATCAGTTATCTGTCTCTATGAATCTGCCTATTCTGAAAATTTCACATAAATGGAATCATACAATACGTGACATTTTTAGGCTCAGCCATGTTTACTATGTATCAGAACTTCATTCCTTTTTATAGCTGAAAATAATATTCCATTTATGGAAAATTACATTTTTTGTTTATTTATCCATTCATCACTTCATAGACATTTGGGTTGCTTCTACCCTTTGGCTAATGTGAGTTTTGTAGCAATGGACATTTGTTGAATTTTATTTGAACACCTGTTTTCAATTCTTTTAAGTATATTCCTAGAAGTGAAAGTTCTGGGCTATAAGGTAATGCTAAATTTAATATATTGTTTTATGGCTGGGGCTGTAGCTCAGTGGTAGAGTGATTGCCTGGCATGTGTGAGGCACTGGGTGTGATCCTCAGCACCACACACACACAAAAATAAATAAATAAATAAAGGTACTGTGTCCATCTACAACAAAAAAAATTTTAAAAAAATTTTAACTCTTATCATTGTAGTGAGTATGAAGTAGAAACTCATTGTGATTTTGATTTGCACATCTCTATTGACAAATAATGTTGGGCACTAGACTTTATGACTTACAGTCCATTGTTTATCTTCTTTGGAGAAATGTCTATTCAAGCTCTTTGCCCATTTTTAATTTTTTTTGTCATTGTAGATGAACAGAATGCCTTTATTTTATTTGTTAATTTTTATGTTGTGCTGAGGATTGAACCCAGTGCCCCATGCATGCTGGGCAAGCGCTCCACCAATGAGCTACAGCTTCAACCCTCTCTGCCCATTTTAAAATTGTGTTGTCTTTTTCTCTAAAGACTTCTGTAACCATATGTTTAGATAAGAGACCTTATATGACTTGCAATTATTTTCTCTCCCTGTGTATGCTGCCTTTTTATTTCTTGACAGTATCTTTTGTTTTCTTTCATTGCTTGTGTTCTTGGTTTCATATCTAAGAATCTGTTGCCAAACATGAGGTCATGAAGATTTACCTCTATATCTTCTTCAAAGAACTTTACAGTCTTAGCTTTTATATATTTAGGTTTTTGATCCATTTTGAATTATATTTTGTATTTGGTGCAAGGTAGAAGCTCAAACTCATTCTTTTGCATATGGAAATACAGTTGTCCCAGCACCACTTGGTGAAGAGACGTTCCTTTCTTCATTAAGTGGTTTTTCTATCCTTCTTGAAAATTAATTTGCCATAGATGTGTGGTCTTTCAATATTCACACTAGCATAAGCTGGTCACTGTAGCTTTGTAGTAAACATTTTGTAGTTTCTTAAAATATGGAAGTGTGAGGACTCTAGCTTTTTCTTAAAATTATTTTGGCTATTTTAGATCCTTTATAATTCAATAAAAATTTGAAGATCAGCTTTTTCATTTCTGTAAAACAAACTGTTATGAGTTTTGAAAGGGTTTAGCTATAGTGCTTATAAAATTAGGGGGGAAAATCATGTTTATTTTTTTCCAGAGTGAATAGATGGGTGAGATTAGTTTATTTGCAAGTATCAAAATGAGAGATAGATAGGTCCTGAATGGGCTGAGACAGTGGCAGGGGTTGGGTAAAGAGGAGACCAGTGAGAGCTTATCTAGGGGTAGAATTTGAGGACAGTGGCTCAGATGGAGGAGAGGCATAAGCAATGATACCTGGGGTGGAAAGAAAATATTCCTTAATATTCTCTATTACAGCTAGCTGATACAGGGTTGCAGATAAGTGGACAAGCATAGGTACAGAGTGAATATACTAAAAACCACTGCACTGTGCACTTTAAAAGGGCAACTATTATGGTATGCAAATTTTATTTGAATAATAAAAGAACTGGAAAAGAGACAGCTGCAATATCTTACTGAGATGTCCACAGAAACAGGCTGTCTGTTTCACCTTTCCTGTGTTTACATTCACAAGCATGGGATGTGGGTGGTTACTGGCGCTGTTCCAGCTCTCTGGGGATGCCATAGAACTGCACTGCTTCCCCCTCTGAAGTTAGATATAGCCACACAATTTGCTTTGGCCAGTACGATTAGACACTTGGAACTCAAGTGTGATTTTCAACCTCTTTCTTATCACTGTGGCAATCTGGGAAGCCTGCTTGTTGTCAAATTGAACAAGAAACAACTGAGATTTAGAGGTTGTTCCTTCTGTAACTTAGCCTATCCTGAAAGACAGGCTGAATGTGTGGTTCACAGTCAAGTTACCATAGGGAGATCATTTTCAGAGGCTTAGTGAAAGCAGCTGAAGAGAGAGCCAGTGAAAAACATTTCAGAGGCCCTTTTTACCCTGTGTACAAATGTTTACCGTGTGCACACAGATTCTGCTCTTGGCCGGTTATATCAATTTGACTTCACATTGTGCCCTCGTCCATTCACAAATGCTGGTAACTACTTAAGAAATTTAAATGTGTTATTATTCTCTTCTAGGAAAAAAGGGACACTGCTTGGTAAAGGGCATGACTATGTACAACAAAGCTGTATGGTCTCCTGAGCCCTGCACCACCTGTCTCTGCTCAGATGGAAAAGTGCTCTGTGATGAAACCATGTGCCACCCCCAGATGTGCCCCCACACTGTTGTACCTGAAGGGGAATGCTGCCCCGTCTGCACTGATACTGGTATAGAGATTTAGCCAAAACAAAACATCACGTGTGTCTTTAACTTCTACTTGTTTTTATTTTGTCACTACTTTAAGCTGTAAGTGATGATGAACTAGCTATCAGCCTACTTAAAATAAGGCACAGTGCTGATAAACACAGAGTCTTAGGAAGTGTGTAGGCAGGGTATAGAACATCATGACTGTGACTCTATTAGAGTAGGACCAGACTACATTCCACATGTGACTTCTAGCTTTAAACATACAGTTACAGAATTTTTACAGTAGACCATGGGTTATTATGAATTAAGCACTTCGGTCTGATCTGTACAGGCATTATCTCACTTAATCCAACTCACCATGGGTACAGTTATCATTTCAAATGAAGATACTGAAGTCATGAGAACAAAGCTTCAAGTCTCCTGGCTATTCCCAAACACTCCAGGGCAGCACAGGAACCTGCTTCATGGCCTGAGTAATCTCCAGGGAAATACAGGTTTTGTGTGGAGCAGTTTTCTTAGATCCTCACTGACCCCTCTCCAGTGAGGCTGGTACCTAACCATGTAGAGGTCCTTTGGAGGAAGGTCCAGTCCTCTTGTGAGAAAAGCCAAGTCAATGACTTGTAAAAAGAAACAAGCACTTTTTAAATAATTTGAGAGGGAGCGATAGAGACATTTTCTCTTTTCTATAACCCCGACAGAGTGCTCCTACAGAAGCACACAGTTATTCACAAAGTAAGTATCTATAAAAGTCTTGCCAACACGAACTTTAGAATATTTAGGAATTGTATTTTGTTTCACCCTGCCAATTACTTACTAAAACATGCTTTGTGAAAAATGTTAGAAAATAAAAGTGTTTAATGAAAATGATTCCTTGGAGTGAAATACAAGGTCTATAGGGCAAGATCCAGAAATTCTCAGACACTTTTCAAAGGACATGGAGTACTTTTGAAATGTTGTAGTTATTTTGGAAAAATAAACTTGGATATACAGGAAGGATTTTAAATGCTTCAATATGATAGCTTTCACTTCCCTTACTTTTTCCTATTCTCCTTCTACATGCTTTGTTAGAGATGTGAAAAAATAACTGACTTTATAATATATGCTGAATTAATACCACAAGTAATTTTTCCAAGTGATTATATTTTCTGAGTTCTTTTTAGGGGTAGTTTGTATATAGTATTATGTGAAAGAAGAGAGATGATTAATTTATAAATTTTGATGGATGAAAACCTAGGCACTGTGAACTCACTTTTCCTTAGAACTCTTAAGGGTAAGACTGAATCTAAAACCTACGTCACGTCTTCTTCACTTCCTGCCAAAGATATAAAACTAAATACAAGTGTAGATCTGTTTGCTATGATCCTTCTCTCACCTTCATGGAATGATGAGCAGCACTCCTGTGCAGATGTCTAACTTAAAACAATACCACTTAGGGCCAGGACATCCTTGATGATAAAACTGATTTATACAGAGTCCAGAAAAGACAGAGAGAACTTTTTCTTTCTTTAATTTGCAGTATTGAGGCTTGAACCCTGGGTCTTGCACATGCTAGGCAAGTTCTCCCTAGCCCCCCAAAAGAGAATTTTCTGTCTATAATTCTGAATTTCAGTGCATCCCATCAGGCCCACGGAGCTAAAAGAAAATTGGATGAAAATAATAATAAATCTATAAATAAAAACTATAAGCAAGTAAAACATGTAAGTTTCACCTTTTAAAATAAATATCTGATAGCAGGCTATAAATTCTTACATTATCAATAGCTCCAATTAATGGAACAGTATCTATTATAAAGGAATCACATCTGATCATATCACAATATCACAACAGCATTACTTTCCACTTTGCATCACGTGGCAATATTATTCCCTCTTCAGTCACCAGATAGTGTTAAATTCTAGCCAAAATAAGTGTTAAGTTATCTAATGTAGAAACTAGTACTAAGACCCATCCCCCCCAAAAAAAATGTATAGATCTTCCAAAACAGAAATAAAATTATGGTTAAATTTTTTCAAGAAAAAATTTCAAAGTGGCACTCAAATATTGGAGGGAATAATATTTACTAACCTCATTTTCATTATGATTTTTTCCTTTTATTAACATCCTCAACTTGCCCCTGCTACCTGCTCTTGCGTGGTCATTAGTCTCCTATTCCCTACTCAGTGGTAAAGCGTTAAATGATAGAAATGAATTTTCTGGTGATTCTTCAGAACAAACAGAACCTACCAATATACTTCATAAGCCACCTCCTCAGGTGGAAATGGACCAAGTATTCAGAAAAGAAGCACTTGAATCTGAGGAGGATGAAGAAGTTAAAGAGAATGGGCACCAGGAAGAGATTGCTGGACCCCGAGACCAGGGTACGTTTCACAGTGAGGAGGAAAGCAGGAGACGGAGGAAGCCAAGCCCTGGGGAGGGGAGGCCAGCACACCCGTGGCTCTACCATGGAAGGGGGGAGGAGGAGGAGGAAGAGGAGAATGAAGAGGAAGGAGAGGAGGAAGAAGAGGAAGATGCTGTGAGAGGAGATGTGTTCCGCCTGCCCTCCCGGTTCGCCACTGCTGCTCCCCGTAGAGGCAAGCCTCGCCTGCCCAGCAGCTGCTCCCTGTCCTACAGGACCATCAGCTGTGTCCACACAGCCCTCAGCCACATCCCACCACTCACAGCACCAGAGATAACAAGTCTGGAGCTCCTTGGTAAGAGATGTTGACTTGTTTTATTTTGTGCTTTAGATGTAAATGGTGACTCTCACTGCTCAACGCATGTTTTACATTTTAATTTCATCATAGAGACTAATTTCATCACACATGTGTTCTGCGCAGAAGACAGATGCTCACCATAGAACAGCTCAGTTAGGTGGAAAGCAAACTTCAAACCAAATGATGTTTTTCCATGGATCTTTTAAAAAAAGTCACTTTTAATGAGGTATAATTTATGTATGGTAAAACTTATTTTAGTGTCTAGTTCTATAGTTTCAACAAATACATACAGTTATATAAATACCACCATAATTAAGATATAGAATATTTCCATCACTCCTCAAAATTCTTCGTGTCTCTATCTCATTAAAAAAAAAACTGATCTGTTTTCTGTCCCCATATCTTTGGCTTTTACAGAATGTCACATAAATGAAATTGCACAGTTTTCAGTCGGGCTTTTTCTTTTCTTTTTCATGGTATTGGGAATTGAACCTAGGTTGTTCTACCACTGAGCTACATCCCCATCCCTTTTTGAGACAGAGTCTCGATAAATTACAGAGACTGGCTTCTAACTTGCAATTCTCCTGCCTCAGCCTTCCAAGTCACAGTGCCCCACTGTGCCTGGCCAGTCCTTCCTTATTGCTGAGCAATGTTTCATTGTATGGATGAACCAGTGGCCAGCTGGGGAACAGCCGGTGTTTCTAGTGGAGTGCTTATATACAAAGTTGCTCTAAACATCCACATACAGATGATTGTATGGACTTGAGTCTTTATTTCTCTGGGGTTATGTCCAGGAGCTGAAGTGCTGAGCAATGTGGCAAATTCACATTTAACTTAGTAAGAAACTGCCCAACTCCAACTGGCCACACCATTTGCCCCAGAAGTGTTGGAGAGTTCCCGAGGCTCCACCACCTGCCAGCACTAGTGTCAGTTGTTTCCACTCACTTTAGCCATTTCAGTGGGAATGTGGTATACAGATCTTGCCCAGAGAGCCACCAGACAGGTTCAGAGTGGAAGAACATCAAGACCAGTTGTGAGAGACTGGCTGATGGGACACACTAGGGGTGGTCCTGAGGAATCAGGAATGAGGGGATCTAATGAGTGTAATGTTTGTGCAGGGACGGCTATCTGCAATAGGACTCTGCTAACACCTTTGACACTGGCAGAGTCCTGTTATAGATAGCTTCCATAGCCTCCCTGACACAGGCTTTCATCCCACTTTCATATGACCACCTCAAAAATTCCTCTCATGCCCACTAAGGCCCCTCCTCCTGCAGGCTACATGCCAAGTATGGACTGCCCTAAGAAAACCCAATTTGTGAAAGTTCAAAGTCTTGGGAAGGATGAACAACCCATGCTGGACCATCCTATCTAGGTTTTACAAGCAGGTCATCATATGGTTTTTATAGAATGTATTATTTCTGAAGGGTCACTACCATACTTAACTAAATGTCAAAACAAAAACTTATCAACAAAAACTTATCAAACTGAAGTAGAATGAAAACAGAGGATAGCATTAGGTTGAGGGGTGTGGTCTGAGAGATGATCTTCCCAGGCTTTTTTTTTTCCTTAAGTTTTTTTTGTATTTGTAGATGGACAGAATGCCTTTATTTTATTTGTTTGTTTTTAATGTGGTGTTAAGGATAGAATCCAGTGACTTACATGTGCTAGGCAAGCACTCTGCCACTGAGCTCTAGCCCCAGGAAGCTCCAGCCTCCTTCCCAGGCTTCTTATACAAAGAAGGAAACATGCTTACAGGAAGTTAGTGACTTGCCTGTGATTTCTTGGATAAAAATAGTAACATGTTGCCAGTCCATTTCCAAAACAGAAATGAAAAAATATGAAAAAGAAAAAATCAGTTTCTATATAACCTTGCAGAAACATACTTTTGTTGTAGATGCAGAATGCTACCAATATTATCCAGCAGACTGCATTCTGGCTGTCTTAATCAGAGTCATGTGAAACATGAAGTATTGACCATTATGAACTTTTGAGAGAAAATTCTGATTATGTTGAATTGTCTAGTTATTACTGTGAACATGTATTTGTTTATATATTTTCTGTCCTTGTTCTGCACATTGCTTTCTCCTTCAGATAATCAATAACCATGTACATGCATGCATGCATACACCCCTTACACATGTTAACATGTATGTATGTGCACATGGGCCTAACACAACTGCTGTGTGTCCTAGGGAATTCCATCACCTCCATCCCGGATGAAGCATTTAATGGATTACCGAATTTGGAAAGGCTTGATCTAAGCAAAAATAATATAACCTCTTCAGGAATAGGCCCAAAAGCATTCAAGGTAATCACATGCTCCAATTTGTGAATAACAATCTATGTGGACTTGCACTGGCTGTTGGTGGAGTGGGTAAGGGAGAAAAAGCAAAGTTTTAATTGGTAGTTTTCTTCTACATTAAAAAAAGTTTCCTGGGCTAGGGTTGTGGCTCAGTAGTAGAGCATTTGCCTAGCACAAGTGAGGCACTGAGTTCAATCCTCAACACCACATAAAAATAATTAAAATAAAGGCATTGTGTCCATCTGCAACTAAAGTATTTAAAAAAATTATTTTTTAAAAAATTTCCTCTCTGATGTCCCTAAATCGCATTTAAGTTTCTCTTGAATACAGTTTGTTGGTTTATATATTCATAGTCTTACCCTAAGAACACCAGCAATAACATCAGTGACATAACTAATATTTTGAATTTATGAACTAGTTTCTCCCCAAATAGCTGGAAACATGTTGAAATCTGATCCCTTAGTATATAAAGTATTGTCTAGGAACAAATGAGTGCTCATCTGGAAACTCTATTAACATTTTCAGGTCAGCAAGCTATTGCTTTCTTATTTTTGTGCGTGGGCAAAATCTGATGGAGGATACTTTGGCAGAGTGGGTTCTGGAAAAATAAATGGGTTTAGAACAAATTAGCATGGGATAGGTTGGAAAAGAGGAGGGAAAAAGAAATGATAGGAAATAGTACAGCAAATATTTAAACGGAACAGATTTGAGTAAATTTTTTTTTAAAAAAGGAGAAGATCAAGGAATTTCAGGAAAACAAAAAATAGAAGCAAGAGAGGAAAAGGATTTTGTGTATAAATAAAAACTAATTCTCTTTCCTCTGTCTCTCTCTCCCCTTCACTCATTTTCTTCATACCCCCTGCCCTGTGATGCTGGGGTTTGAACCCAGGGCCTTACACATACTAGGCAAGCACTCTATCATTGAGCTGTGTCCCCCCTGCCCCACACATTTCCTATACTTGATCAAGAGATTTCTTGATCAAAGCAAGATTTCTTGCTTTGAGATTTTCTGTGCTGTTCCAAAACTGCTGCAATTTGAGTATGATCAATGGAGAAGAGAATTATTCCATGTGGCTTCACTAAAATTTACCCAATTTCAGTACTCTGCTTTTGGAGGTTGCAGGCGAGGTTTGTCCAAGAGGTACGCAACTACAAATGTGGAAACATGCTTTTTCAGAGGTCAGTTGTTTGGGTACCATACATGAATAGCTTGTGACATTTGTTGTGCTTTGTTTTGAAAACTTTTCACAGTAATTAGTGCTATTTTATGACCCCTTTTCTAACATAAATATTACCAGAGTTTGGAAACTGAATTTTATAAATATGTTAAAAAGATAAGAATCACTGTCCTGTTAGTATCCACAAAAGATTCACAGTATTGTATGACTTACAAAAAAATTTCTGTCTCTTGCTGTGAAGGTGAACACCTCAGACCTCAACAAAATACAACTGACCCTTTAGATATAGTAGCTTTCTAAAGCTGTAATATGTGTGAGTAGAATACGAGTCATCAAATGCAGCCTGCTGCAAATGCTTGATAATCAATGCTGTTACTTGGCAGGGGAATGGGGTGTGGCCTGGACATCACTGCTTAAGCCTAAGGAAGTGCAGAATTGTAAAACTTAGTCCCTACTTTAAAATAAAGATACAGTAATGTATCTCACCATTATGTGAGATACATTACTGTATAAATTTGACGAGATAAAATGGTAATTTTGAGATCTGCTTTTGTAGCTTTTGAAGAAGTTAACACGTCTGAATATGGATGGAAATAATTTGGTACGAATTCCTTCAGAACTACCATCTACATTAGAAGAACTTAAAATCAATGAGAACAATCTTCAGGCTATTGATGAAGAAAGTTTATCAGGTATTTAACATTTTTTTTTTTTTACGTTTCCTTAAAACCTTTCTTCCACTGTTGTATAGAAATCTGATTTATAGTATTGTCAAGTATATAACTAGAAAAAAAATTAGGTCACTTTATCATTTCAGTTGACCATCAGTGGCCACCACTTTTGATTGGTAAAACTTAGCCTTTTTATTTTTAAAATATTTTTAGTTGTATATGGACACAATACCGTTTACTTATTTTTATTTATTTATATAGTGCTAAGGATGAAACCTAGTGCCTCACACATGTGAGACAAATGGTCTACCACTGAGCAACAACTCCAGCCTCTGGTAAACTTAATCTTAAAGTATACTTTAACTGTCTGTTGTCTTAAATAAGTAAATAAATAAAAGTAGCCAGACACAGTGGCACATGGAGGTAATCCTAGTGACTCGGGAGGCTTAGGCATGAGGATCACAAGGTTGAGGCCAGTCTTAGCAATTTAGTGACACTGTCTGGGGGGAAATAAAAGGAAGCGAGCTGGAGCTCGGTGTACAGAGCCCCAGCTTAGATCCCCTGTACCAAAAAGAAAAAAAAAATTCTCTCATTGATCCCAGGTTCTCATCATTCATAATACAGTAACTCTCTGACAAATCCCTACTATCTGAAGGGCTGCACTAATACCTCCCACAATACTGCATATTTTGGTTCTCTGTTTGGTGTTGAAACCGGAGTCCAATCACACAAGAATTATGTATGAAGCAGGAGTAAGTGGACATAGTATGAGGCTGAAGTGCTGCTGGAATGAAGGCAGTGCACCTCCCGCAGCAACCCTGGCTTTGTTTCTGAGGGTGCGTGGGCCAGTACTAGGGTCTTGCCATGTCCTCACTCCATGGTATGTGGAACCAGGCTGCACAGAGGCCCAGCTTTCTGATGGATGGACTTTGGTGAGGTGCATTTGAACCAGCTGTGATGCTCTGCTGCTTTTTCTGGACTTGGTGAGGTAGCCAAAGTTGGCACAATGGGGCTGTACAGAAGAGGCTTGGTTATACTCTACTTTTCACATACTCTGACACCTTTGGTTAGACGGCATGCTTCCTTAAGACAAAGACTGCTTAAGTTTTCTTTCAGTTTCCCATTTAGCCTAACTCCTGAAGTACTCAACACTTGCTGCTAACTTAATTTAAAACATATTTAAATGTAAATGTTGATAAGTCAAGCATTTAAAGGAATAATACCATCCTTCTATTTCCTTCAGCTCCCCCAAAATTTTATAGAAACAAAACACTTCTGGTGATGAGAAAACTAATCATAAGACTTGCCAAATCTGAGGATAATGAAGTTATGGAAATGCTCAATTTCCAGATGGATTTCAGGGTACACATGAAAAACATTAATAAGCACAAATTTTGATGGGCTTTGTCATAAGGAGAAGACATTGGAAAATTTAATTTCTAACTGCTTCGTTAGACTGAAGGGAACATGAAATTTAGACCAAGAATACTGACAGGCTACTTAGGAACGCCACGTGGGTTCACATTTCTAGCATTACTGTCACACGACAAGATAAAACATAAGTCCTTATTTTGAAGGCACTCTCCTATATCCCTGGAACTTCTTCTCAGTGAACTTTTCTCCCTCGCACACTAAAGCTTCTATATTCCCAGTGTTGATGTGTTGATGTGTAGTCCAGGGAGAACTGGCTGCCTACCCTATCTCATACTTGAAGCATGGACATGGCATTGATCCCACACAGGTGGCAAGAAAGGAAGCTTTCTGCATTGCTCTTGCCCAGAAAACCTTCTTGTACTTCCTGGGTGGGCTGTATCTTTAACCTACTGTGGTGCTGGATCCATGGATCCAGGTCCTCCCTTGCCCCTGTGAGGCCTGCTGCTCTGGACGGTAGGGCGGGCTGACAATGGGCAGGTGGGCCCAAGCACAGCTCTACCCAGTTCCAAGATGCAGCTGCCTGTGTGAGGGCCCCTTGCTTGGCCTGAGGTGGCTCTTGCTCTCCCAGCATCCCTCTCTGGCATCTTCCCACTTATGGCAGATTATAGTTCCAGAGAAGTGGGGAGGAGAGCAGTCCAGGAATAGAAGACAGCACATAAAAGACATGAAGAGACAGGCTGATTCTAGGTGCTATGACAACTGAGGCAGGCATATGATAAGGGTGCAGGGCAGGTGAACACACGAGGATGAATGTGCCTACCACGTGAGGTGTGGGGAGATCACCGCAGATGTGTGCACACACTGAGGAGAAAGAGAAGGTCAACAATTGAGGGAGAACAATGAAAGGAAGAGGAGGGGCAATGGGAAACTGGGCATGCTTCAGAAACATTCCTGTCTTGACTAGCAACCAGAACGAACAAAGCACCATCACTCAGGTTTCCTGTAGGCCACCATTAACACTGACATGTCACCTTGTCCACAACAGGTCATGGCACCTCACCCAAAACAAAGGTCTTCTTACCTCTGCCTAGTTCCTGCTCACAAATCCCTTTTCAACATCAACCAGAAACGTCCTCTAACTCCATCTTGTTGCTATACACACACACAGTGTTGTGCATTTGCCTGTTTCTCTCAGGAGGTCACGCATGACTGTCAGTCCCCTTGTTACCTACTTTTTAATGGAAAACTTTCACCGTTTAAAATATCTCACCTATGTACAAGAGAAATGTTGGCTTATTGGTACCTTTAGTTTTGGAAATAGGAAAATATGAGGAAATATATCCTCTTATTGCAGATTCTTGGCTTCAACTGATCTTGAGCTCCACCACCAGTTTACCACGTGGCTTTTGCCATGCCACCCAGGCCTTTCTCCTGAGCCTAGAGAACGGGAGCCAGACTTGCACCTAGAGAACAAAGGCCTGTTCCAGAGTACTTCTCCCAGAGGACCAACTTTACCCCATTGCCCATAGCCCATTGCAGGGTGAAGCCCCCAGCCCCAGCTCACCACTGGGCCCTTCGCCTGAGCGTGTTTCAGTGTACAAGCTTCTCCCACTTTTATCTAAATCTTTTTAACCCCAAATCTTACCACTTCCATCCCACTCGAATCTGTACTTCTTTCTCTTCCAGCATTCACTGTCCCTACTCTTGCTGCTGCCTAAATGTAGGAATGGATTGCACAGGACATTTGGTGCAAGACCCATGACAGGAGTTTAACAGGAAAACATCCCTATTCTGGGAATCTTGACCATGCCCTGAATCTCTGACTCAGATTCCTCTGGGTATGTCACTGTTGAGTGGTGTGATCCAGTGCCACATGTCCAATTGACCTGGATGGTACCACTCCTGAGGCCACTAGAAACAGTGTAGAAAAGACTTGTTTGTATAAAGGCCTTTCTTGGTAGCTCAATCTGGATGCGTGGAGAATTCTTTCATCATCTTTCTTTCAAAACTTCCATTTGGCTGCACTCTGCGCCAATAAGTGAATAACTACGATGGGAATTTACTGCTCTGCTTTATTTCTAACTCCCTTGCTCAGAGATTTTGAGGGTTTTCCAGGGAAAGAAGGTTGCTTTCTTTTTCCTGGAAAAAGGAATCCTTCATCAACCCTTTACTATCATGCTGCCAATTCATACCTACATGTCTCTGCAAATGCTTCCAATGATCTTACATGACTTTCTACTCCTTGCCCACCTGAATTTCAAATTCCTGCTTGATCAGTGCAGCCTCTGTAGACAACTCTGACTCTCTCCCTGCCTTCTTCCTCCTCCTACCCCCTTTTGCTTCTGTTCCTTATACATATTTGTAATGTATAGCACTAGAGTCATTTCTTTTCTGGACCATGCCTTTTGCCCTGCTTGAATGGTGCATTTGAGATATGTGAAGTACTTTGGAAAGGCGGGGCGGGGGGCAAAGATAAAGAAACTACACACTCTGAATAAACTAAATTTTTCACATGCATGGTATAATACTGGTATTTCTTTTTCCTTTTTTTGGGGGGTGGTGGTGGTGGTGGTGTTAGAGATGGAACCCAGGGCCTTATGCAGGCTAGACAAGCAACTCTCCTGAGCTTATAATTCTAGACCAAACTGCATAGTTTAAAAAATTATTGAAATATCCTGATAACTTTATTTTTTTGTAGACTTAAATCAACTGGTCACCTTAGAATTGGAAGGAAACAATCTCAGTGAAATCAATGTCAATCCTTTAGCTTTTAAATCTTTGAAGAGCCTATCTTATCTGCGTCTGGGAAAAAATAAATTTAGAATTATACCACAGGGTCTTCCTGCTTCTATTGAGGTACCACTATTCTTCTTCTAATGTTTTAAATGTATTATACTTTAAATACAATATACAACAAAACAAACAATAAATCTTAAAAGACTATGGTGATATCCATTAAACTCAGTAGAGTTTTGGTGCTGTATACAGAATTCACTATAACCTGAGCTTCTATGTCCTGAAAAAAGTGAAAAATGATGCTGCTGACAGCTCTTGGAGGGAATGAGGAAGGGGAACTGAGAATATGAATAGAAACCCCAACTTCCAAAAGGTACTCTGAGTCCCAAAACAGCTTAAACTATCCCAAACAAGAACCATGAATTTCAACACAGATGAAGCTCAAAACTCATAGACCTCCTGTCTCCACTCACAAGCAGCAGATAGAATCACAGATACTCAGACTGAATAGCAACCGCAAAGGCTTTGATCATTCCAGCAACTCTATAGCTTAAAATTTTTGATGGATCCCTATCAAAACAGTCTTGTGACCATCTCCAGTCCCAGAGCCCCATCCTCATTTCACCCTTGCAGCACCTCCCCAGCAGTTTCCAGAGGTGCAGTTTCCTTGCTGCTGGTGTTGTGTGTGTGTGTGTGTGGGTGGGGGGGGGCGGCTTAGGTCATCTATGGCCAGTTAGTGTCAACACTCCTCATTTCTTAGATTAGGAACACTGGGACCCAGAGTGTCTGTAAACACTGACAGACCCAGCCAGAAGTCAGGTTTCTTATCTGAGCTTCGTTTCTACCACACTGTATGATCATTCCATCAGAACCCAGGATAGAGCTCACCCTGGCAGTGGCTCTAGTGAGCCAGAAAAAGGTCATCTATTGTCACTTCATGGCTACCTCCTTCCCTCTTTCTCATATTTCCAAACTAAGAGATGTTTGGAAATTAGTAGTTACGTAACACTGGAATTTACCGACACTTGGCTTTACATCAGAATTACCTGGGTTCTTAAGATGTATAGATTCTTGGACCTATTTCAGACATTCTAAGTCAGATCCTTTACAGAACAGGGTAGAAATTTAGATTTTTTTTCTTTGAAAGGACTACTGGGGATTGAATCCAGGGTCTTGCACTTGCTAAGCAAGTACTCTACCTCTGAACTACACCCTGGCACTTTTAAAAATTTTGAGACAGGGTCTCATTAAGTTGCCAAGGCTGGACTCAAACTTGGGACCCTCCAACTTCAGCCTCCCAAATTAATTGAGATTATAAGCAGGTGCCAATACACCCTGATAATTTTCTTAAGTATCAAAATTTTATATAGATAATCCATGCAATTGGTAAAACACATACAACTTGGATGATATGTAAGAACAATGTGCCCATTCCCATACCTGATCTCATTCTGGCTTCTCTCTCCAAAGAGACCTACCTGGGAGCGCTGGGCATGCAAGCATACAAGTGCAAAGCAAACACCATAAACCCTTCCTAAGTCACTGCTGCATGCCAGCCTCCCCCAATTCCACCCCTGAAGTGTGTCTCACATCATTCTTTCCTATAGCTGTAGTTGTCAGCACAGGAATGGGTATGCCACGACTTAGTTCCTGACTGAGGTATATTTAACTTTTTTAAAACATTTTTTTAGTTGTAGATAGACACAATATATTTATTTATTTATTTTTATGTGGTGCTGAGGACCAAACCAGTGCCTCAAATATGCAAGGCAAGTGCTCTACCACTGAACTACAACCTCAACCATGAATTGTAAACTTTAAAAAACTCATGAGGTGATCCTAATGTACAGACAAGTTTGGGGACCAATGATCTAGTTCACTCTTAATACATATGAAGGTAAAAGTGAAAAGCTGCAAGTTACTTTAATAATACCTGAATTAAATGACAACGGAAAAGTTATCATGATGAAAAGTTACAATGAATACGTAATGCCAATTCTTCTGAATTCTGTTGAAAACAAGAATTTTACAATTCATATCCTTTAGCTAAAAACTCCTTCAATGCCAACTAATTTATCTTGAAGACAGCTAGCTATTAAAAATTTACTAATTGGGGTCTGAGGATATGCACAAGGCCATGGGTTCAATTCCCAGCACCACACACACACATACACACACAAAAAAAAAAAAAGAAAGAAAGAAAGAAAGAAAAAAAATTTACAAAGTGTTCTAGCAAACTCTATCAAACTAATAGTTCTAACAAACTCTAGCAAACTTGGCTGGTTCTAAATTAAGGCTCTTAACTAATTAAAATTAACTTTTAATTAAATTAAATTCAAATAAGTCTAAAAACATGAGCCTAAAAAAATTAATTACCACATGGGGTCGTGGGAAGCTGTTCTGGAGGACGAGCCCCTCTTGGGCACCAGCTCTGGACCTTGGGCAAGCATTGCTGTCTCTCTAGGCTCAAGTTCCTAACTAGTGAGTGGAGATAAATAATTTCACCTACTTTCTGGAGCTTTGAAGTACAAATAAGATATTGTGAATCAGTTTTATAAATTAGAAAGTTTTATATAAGAATGTGGCATGCTATATTTTATAACATAGTATGGCTAAAAAATTAAATGAAATTCATTTAATTCCATAATCAGGATAGACAGTACTTTTTATTTTACTAGTTATAAAATAGGACAACTTATAAGTATGAACTCACTTGAAAGAGCAATAAAACTCTTTAGATAACACTAAATAAGAAATCTTCATTAGAATTTTAGTCTCTGAAAGTGAGAATATTTATCAACTAACACAAATGAAAGAAAAATAAGTCTTTTCTCTTAATTATAGGAATTATACTTGGAAAATAACCAAATTGAAGAGATAACTGAAATTTGTTTTAATCAAACCAGAAAGATTAATGTGATTGTACTACGTTATAATAACATAGAAGAAAACAGGATTGCTCCTTTAGCCTGGATCAATCAAGAGTAAGTATATTCTACCTCTTCACTTTCTTAGTGAGCTCTCACCCTACCCCAGGTTTGATTACTCTGTAGAGTTGTTCATGACATGACTAGTATTAGGATCACTACTGCCTACTGGACACCCTATTGCATGCCAAATGCTGAGCTGCTAGCACACAAATGCCACCCTAGCTCTGCCTTCTACACAGGTTGCCAGGAGGTCCTCCTGTACCTCACTGCCTTCTTTTATCCAAACTTTCTCTTTCTTTGGCCTAACAATGGAAGCAGAGAGTAGAATCCATCTTCCTGAACAGGAATCAGCAGGCTCACTGCAGCCCTCAGTGAAGTAAGTAGGAGGCAGCTGGGGTGAGCCTTGGCAGCATGTCACAGATGATCTGGACAGGCTGGGTATGTCCTGGAACAATGTACCACAAGTAGCACAGCCTCTGAAACAAAGGTTGTTCAGAGGTGGAATGGAAAGAAATGAAAAGAGGCCTTTGCTGGTAATTGGAGGGTACCTGACGCCCCTGTGTGTAGAGGAGTCTTCCTTAAGTGAAAAGAGATGGGCAGAAACCCCAAAAGACTCAGGTGAGGCTCCTGGTACAAGCCAGGAATTCAGCATATTCCCCAGGTGCTCTAACGAGTAACAACTTCTAGATTCCTCAGTCTTATCCCAAGTTCTAGGTGTGGCACATCATCAAATCAAATGTGAAATGAAAATGTGGGGAGAAATACAAAATAAGTAAAAAACAAACAAAAAACCCAAGCAAAAAACTTTCTTGCCCAGGGCTCCTGGATTTCATCTCTCTCTTTTTTTTCTAATTAATTTCTTTTTTTAATATTTATTTTTTAGTTATAGGTGGATACAATATCTTTATTTTATTTTTATGTGGCGCTGAGGATCAAACCCAGTGCATGTGAGGCAAGTGCACTTCCTCTGAGCCAAAATCCCAGCCCTGGATTTCATTTCTGATTCAACAGTTCAACCTTAGAAATATTTCAGGGACATCTTTGGGCCTCCCCATTAACCCAAAGATGTAAATTTCTGGTATGCCCTAGGGAGGCAAATCTATAGCTAGAAGGCAGTGTGGGTGATGGGAAGAAGATGAGCCTTGCAAACAGACGGACCCATACCAGCACACAGTTACGCTTATGTTTAGGATCATCACTGCAGACTGGTGCTTATAAGAAAACAGCTAGCATCACATTTGGCCCTATCAAAATTCAGAGTTGCTAGTTGCTACTCTGACATTTCCTACCCTGTTCACTTTTTCTTTGCCACAGGAACCTAGAATCCATCGACCTGTCCTACAACAAGCTCTACCACGTGCCTTCCTACCTGCCCAAGTCTCTGCTGCACCTCGTGCTCATAGGGAACCATATTGAACGGATACCTGGCTATGTGTTTGGTCACATGGAACCAGGCCTGGAATACTTGTACCTGTCATTTAACAGACTCACTGATGATGGTTTGGACCGAGTCTCATTCTATGGGGCATATCATTCTCTGAGAGAGTTATTTCTGGATCACAATGACTTAAAATCTATACCACCTGGGGTGCAAGAGATGAAAGCACTACATTTTCTGAGACTGAACAACAATAAGATTCGGTAAATTTTGGCCTTTTCAAGTATCAATTAAAATTGTGGTTGACAAAATATTTATATCATTAAACAGCCATGACATGAACTTTGGGATTTACCTAAAAAAAGAAAAAAAGGGGTGGATGGGATGGATTAAATGGGGTTGGGTTAAAAAAAAATTGGCAATGCTAATAACTCTTGAAGCAAGGTGATAGGTACATAAGAATTCATTATGTTTTTTCTTTTTTCCACGTTTGCAAATTTTTATAGTATTACTGAATATTATTACACAATACTTTAGAACATTGAGGACAGGTTCAAATAAGGTTGTGAAGTAATAAACAGACTATGCTACTACATATGAAATTTGAAAGAAACTTATCTGCACAGCAAAAACAAATATATGCTAAAATTAAAATACATTCTATCTAGATTTTTCTGAAGGCAAAAAGTTTTTTTCTGAAGGAAAAATTCTGAATGAATTTACTGAGACTCAACTTTGTTCGCTTTTAGGGATATATATATATATATTTTTTTTTTTGCATATTTTAAGAAATTACCTGTCCCTAGATAGCACAACTAAGTTAAGAATTAAGCTGGACATTTTGTGAATGTGATCTTTACCATTGGCAATGAGGAAGAGGGAAACCTAAGCTCTCTCAGAATTATGCCCCTTTCCCCTTCCCTATTTCTAAAATTCCAAACTAAATGCCTAAAAAACAAAGTAAAAGAAAGGTTTAAGAATTTTTAGAAGTACGGGAGGAAGTGGCGAGTGAGGAAGGCTTTGTTAAAATTCAGCTTCAAACTTTGGGGGCCAAATAACTTTAGAGGTTATGCATCAGGAGACATAATGTATTTGTCTCACTGTTAGTGATTCTAAAATTTATCAGGGGATTTATGTGGTCACAGCCTGGGGACTCTTAGCACAAACTTTCCTCTCATCATTGAACCAATGGTTTCATTCAGAGAAGGTTATTGCTTGAATCTATTATTTCATTAGAGGTAATGAAACTATGAATTTCTATTTTTACCATTCTTTCCATGCTTATTAGCTGGAATCCCTCTCTAAAGAAATTTTGCTCATCAACTAGGACTGTTTTGCTACTCTGAAAGGATGGACAAACACTCAATTCTTTCCTTTACAATGCCAGTCAGAATAAGTTAATGCCTATGGTATTCTACTTTAATATTTTGTTTTGGGATGCCCTCTTTCCCTGGAGAATGAACACATGCATGAAGTCCATATGGTAAGCCAGAGACTGGAGAAGGGCCAGACTTTTTTTTTTAGTTGTTGACGGACCTTTATTTATTTATTTATATGTGGTGCTGAGAATGGAACCCAGTGCCTCACACATGCAAGGCAAGCACTGTGCCACTGAGCCACAACCCCAGCCCAGTCTAGGAATTTTTAAAACCCAATATATGGGAATTAATGCCCTTCAAAAGAGCTGCATTAATTCCTGGCAAGGGCAATGCTCCCAATGATCCTACCAGCTTCTCAAATTGCTACCCAGAAGACCAATCCTCCAGGAAATGATTCCTTGGGGGGACAAAGCACTTCAAATCTTAACACAGTGCTTCTGGTTTTCAAATCACAGATAGGAAGATTTCCCCCACTTGCAGGGTGTTATCATGCTGCATTCAAATGTATTTATAGTTTCATTTTTCACATTTCAATCTTTAACATACTTGGAATATATTCTGGTTTATGATATGAGAAAAGGATCCAACTTTATTTTAAGAACAAAAGCATTTTTTTAAACAAATGTAAAATTTCAACTCCTAAATCATGAAGGCAGATTATTACTTGGACCATTTATGATTTGCACATCTATTTTTCCTTAGGAATATTCTTCCGGAACAACTTTGCAACGTTGAAGAGGACAGTGACTCAACTCTGGAACATCTTCATCTTGAAAATAACTATATTAAAGTTAGAGAAATATCACCCTATGCATTTTCATGCATAAGATCATATTCAAGTGTTGTTCTCAAACCACAAAACATTAAGTAATTCCAAGATTTCTTGTGACATTTATAAATTTTACTCATGTATTTGTTGTAGTAGCATTTGTCATTAATAAGAAATATAATCCTCATGTTATACTCAATATCATTATGCTGTCAATTGATTTGCCAATCCACAGATGAACAACCAAATATACATAATGCAAAGGGTGTAGTCTTCCAGCTTTAAGGAAGGTGAAAACACCTCAGTTTCCCACCTCTAGAAAAAAGCCACATCGCTAAAATATAACGTTATATATGCCTAGCTAGACCAGGAGAGTCTGGAACAAATAAGGATCCAACAATGGTTGATCTAACTCCTGCTGTTAGCTGAGAACTCCTCAAGTCCCTTTAAAAATTATGCATGTTATGATTTAAGACAAAGAAACACACTCCCAGGAAAAAAAGAAAAAACAGAATTTATGAATTATTATTCTGTTAAAATAATGATTTGTTAATTTCTGTAAGATCCCATGCTATAATTACTGGTAAAAATATATCTCACTATTGGGTTAGCTTTAGTTCTTCTATTAATTATATGTGTGAATTTAAAACACTATTGTAATGGTAACTTCTCGGTTTAGATAACTGCACGGTGGTTATGTACATAGTTAGCATTAAGGAAAGATAGTTGAAGGGTACATATGAACTCTATACTATCTCTGAAAGTTTTGTAAGTCTAAATTTATTTTTTAAAGATAAAAAAATAGTACTTTCAGATCATCTTCATTATTCTTCATTCAAGATCAAAAGATTATGGAAAGCAGTAGAGTTTGTTAAAAATATAAATTATTTTTGACTACACTCTTATTAAATGTAAATCTAATACATGTACTTTCTTTTTTAAAATATTTATTCTTAAGCTTTAGGTGGATACAATATCTTTATTTTACATTTATGTTGTGCTGAGGATCGAACTCGGTGCCTTGTGCATGCTAGGCGAGTGCTCTATCACTGAGCCACAACCCCAACCCACATGTACTTTCGAAAACCTTTGCTCCACTATCAAAGTTAGCACCTATGACTTTTGCTCTAATCTACTGAAATGTATTCAGTTCAACTAAACCCAACTTAAGTAGTGTTTTCATTTACCATACCTACCCAAACCACATATTAAAGTTTTCATTCCACAATGACCTTTTATCTTTGCATTGCTAAAATAACACAGAGAGTTTACCCTAGGTCTTCTCAAAGGAGTCACCATGACTCGGTGGCCTTGGCTGGCTCCTTGTAAATTTCTCTAAAGGGTTTTGGCTGAAAAAGAGCCACTTAGAAGGTGCACACCCATCTATTAAAAAGGGCAGCGGCGTTCTCCCTGATGTGTGCATTTCCACATTTTCAAAAGCCATTTCCTCTACCCTGAATCAGCTATGATTAGCAAAGACCTGAATGACGGTCCACCCCAGACGTACATCCCCACTGAGACTAGTTGCAGTGCATGAGAAGAACTGGGATTGCCCAGCACTCATCAGGCACTCTGAAGACCTGGAAGTGACAAAGAAGGCCTTTCTGGATACAGATTCTGTCTTCCACACTCAGCTCCCATAGCAGCCCAAGGTATGTACCTAAGTGCGACCGACTGGCAGAACAGGCCCAGGGGTCCGCGGACGTGGTAGACACGTCACACCAATTGGAGGAGGGGCAGAGCAGAGCCGCTGCCTGCGCCTGCAAAGTAGGCAGACCTGCGACCGACTGGCAGAACAGGCCCAGCGTTCCCTCAGCGTGGTAGACAGATCACCCCAATTGGAGGAGGGGCACAGTCACCGCCTGCCGGTGCAAGGGAGACTTTTCAACTATACAAGAGCAATATAAATATATAGGGGGAAAATTTTAAAAACACAACAGTTTCACCAAGCAGAAAGAAACGCGAGCAGTATGAAAAGACGAGGAAAGAAAGGACCACAAGCAATGCAGGTCAACTCAACTTTAGAAGAGGTAACAGCTGCAGCAGATGGAATGTCAGATAAAGAATTTAGGATATACATGCTTCAGATGATCTGGAGTCTCAAGGAAGACATTAGACAGCAAAATCAGACAATGAAAGATCACTTTGACAATGAATTACATAAACAAATCCAAGAAGCAAAAGATCAACTATACAGGGAGATAGAGGTTATAAAAAACAAACAAAAAGAAATCCTAGAAATGCAGGAAGCAATAAACCAACTTAAAACTCAATTGAGAATACTACCAGCAGAGTAGAACACTTAGAAGACAGAACATCAGACAATGAAGACAAAGTATTTCAACTTGAAAAGAACATAGACAGCTCAGCAAGACTGTTAAGAAACCAAGAGCAGAATACCCAAGAAATATGGGATAACATAAAGAGACCAAACTTAAGAGTCATTGGGATACAGGAAGGTATAGAGGACCAAACCAAAGGAATGAGCAATCTATTCAATGAAATAATACGAGAAAACTTCCCAGACTTGAAGAATGAGACAGAATCCCAAATCCTAGAAGCCTACAGGACGCCGAATGTGCAAAATCATAAGAGATCCACACCTAGACACATTATAATGAAGATGCCCAACATACAGAATAAGGAGAGAATTTTAAAAGCTACAAGAGAAAGGAAGCAGATTACATTTAGGGGTAAACCAATCAGGATAACAGCTGATCTTTCAACACAGACTCTGAAAGCTAGAAGATCCTGGAATAACATATTTCAAACACTGAAAGAAAATGGGCTCCAACCAAGAATTGTGTATCCAGCGAAATTAAGCTTCAGGATGGAAGATGAAATTAAAACCTTCCACGATAAACAAAAGTTAAAAGAACTTGCAGCTAGAAAACCATCTCTTCAAAACATCCTCGGCAAAACATTACAGGAAGAGGAAATGGAAAATAACAATGAAAACCAACAGTGGGAGGTAGGACAGTAAAGGGGGGAAAAATAATCAAAGAGGAAAACAAACCATGTTTAGTAACATACATAAACAAATATGGCTGGAACAACAACCCATATCTCAATAATAACCCTAAAGGTTAATGGCTTAAACTCACCAATTAAGAGACACAGGCTAGTAGAATGGATCACAAAACAAGACCCAACAATATGCTCCCTACAGGAGACACATTTGATAGGAAAAGACATACATAGACTGAAGGTGAAAGGTTGGGAAAAATCATATCACTCATATGGGCTTCGGAAACAAGCAGAAGTGTCCATACTCATATCAAATAAAATAGATTTCAAGCCAAAGTTAATCAAAAGGGATAAAGAGGGACACTACATACTGCTCAAGGGAACCATACACCAACAAGACATAACAATCATAAATATATATGCCCCACACAATGGTGCAGCTATGTTCATCAAACAAACTCTTCTCAAGTTCAAGAGTCTAATAGACCACCATACAATAATCATGGGAGACTTCAACACACCTCTCTCACCACTGGACAGATCTTCCAAACAAAAGTTGAATAAGGAAACTATAGAACTCAATAACACAATTAATAACCTAGACTTAATTGACATATATAGAATATACCACCCAACATCAAGCAGTTACACTTTTTTCTCAGCAGCACATGGATCCTTCTTAAAAATAGATCATATATTATGTCACAGGGCAACTCTTAGACAATATAAAGGAGTAGAGATAATACCATGCATCTTATCTGATCATAATGGAATGAAACTGAAAATCAAAGATAAAAGAAGGAAGGAAAAATCATGCATCACTTGGAGAATGAACAATAGGTTACTGAATGATCAATGGGTTATAGAAGACATCAAGGAGGAAATTAAAAAATTCTTAGAGATAAATGAAAACACAGACACAACATATCGGAATCTATGGGACACACTGAAAGCAGTTCTAAGAGGAAAATTCATTGCTTGGAGTTCATTCCTTAAAAAAAGGAAAAACCAACAAATAAATGATCTCATATTTCATCTCAAAATCCTAGAAAAAGAAGAGCAAAACAACAGCAAAAGAAGTAGAAGGCAAGAAATAATTAAAATCAGAGCTGAAATTAATGAAATCGAAACAAAAGAAACAATTGAAAAAATTGACAAAACTAAAAGTTGGTTCTTTGAAAAAATAAATAAAATCGACAGACCCTTAGCCATGCTAACGAAGAGAAGAAGAGAGAGAACTCAAATTACTAGCATACGGCATGAAAAAGGCAATATCACAACAGACACTTCAGAAATACAGAAGATAATCAGAAATTATTTTGAATCCTTACACTCCAATAAAATAGAAGATAGTGAAGGCATCGATAAATTTCTTAAGTCATATGATCTGCCCAGATTGAGTCAGGAGGATATAGACAACCTAAACAGACCAATATCAATTGAGGAAATAGAAGAAACCATCAAAAGACTACCAACTAAGAAAAGCCCAGGACCGGATGGGTATACAGCAGAGTTTTACAAAACCTTTAAAGAGGAACTAATACCAATACTTTTCAAGCTATTTCAGGAAATAGAAAAAGAGGGAGAACTTCCAAATTCATTCTACGAGGCCAACATCACCCTGATTCCTAAACCAGACAAAGACACTTCAAAGAAAGAAAACTACAGACCAATATCTCTAATGAACCTAGATGCAAAAATCCTCAATAAAATTCTGGCGAATCGGATACAAAAACATATCAAAAAAATTGTGCACCATGATCAAGTAGGATTCATCCCTGGGACGCAAGGCTGGTTCAATACACGGAAATCAATAAATGTTATTCACCACATCAATAGACTTAAAAATAAGAACCATATGATCATCTCGATAGATGCGGAAAAAGCATTCGACAAAGTACAGCATCCCTTTATGTTCAAAACTCTAGAAAAACTAGGGATAACAGGAACATACCTCAATATTGTAAAAGCAATCTATGCTAAGCCTCAGGCTAGCATCATTCTGAATGGAGAAAAATTGAAGGCATTCCCTCTAAAATCTGGAACAAGACAGGGATGCCCTCTCTCACCACTTCTGTTCAACATAGTTCTCGAAACACTGGCCAGAGCAATTAGACAGACGAAAGAAATTAAAGGCATAAAAATAGGAAAAGAAGAACTTAAATTATCACTATTTGCAGGTGACATGATTCTATACCTAGCAGACCCAAAAGGGTCTACAAAGAAACTATT